CATTTGGGGCGGTTTTGGGTCAGTGTAACATCAGGAACACTTTATAGAGCAGTTTTGGGGTAAATTTGTGCATTTTGGGGTCATTTTGGGCGGCTCCATGTCCCCTTGGGCTCCGTAGTGGCTGATTTGGGGCATTCTGGGTCATTTGGGGCAGTTAGGAGCTCATTCGGGGCAGTTTTGGGTCATTTTGGGCAGCTTCCTGTAATTTTGTGCAGTTTGGGGTGCAGCACACTTTATTCGGGTATTTTGGGGCAATTCCACACATTTTCAGGTCATTTTGGCATTGGGCTCATTTGGGGCAGTTTTGGGGCAATTTGAGGCTCGTTCTGGGTGATTTTGGTATCATTCTGTACAGTTTCCACTCCAGAACATTTATTGAGGTATTTTGGGGCGATTTCTCGTGATTTCRGCTCATTTTGGGCGGCTCTGGGCCCCCTCGGCCTCGGCGTTGGCCCATTGAGGGCAGTTTCGGGGCAGTTTCACGATGATTTTGGTACCATTCTGCACAGTTTTGTCTCCCGAAAGCTTTATTGGGGTATTTTGGGGCAATTTCCCGCGTTCCGGGGTCACTTTGGGCGGCTCTGGGCCCCCTTGGCCTCGGCGTTGGCGCGCAGCACGGCGCCCGGGCTCGGGTACGGCCGCTGCTGGAACAGGGGCCCGGCCGCCGTCGTGTCCGCCCCCGTCTTGGCCTCGTTGCGCTTGGGCAGCCCCGTCGACCACGTGCCCCTGCGGGGGGGGGGGCGTGGTCAGCGCGGGACACGCCCCCCAGCCGCCGTGCCCCGCCCCCGAGGGACCAGCCCCGCCCCCGACTGTGCAACACGTGCCCCCGGCTGCCCTGGACACGCCCCCAAGCACGTGGGCCCCGCCCTGCCTGTCCTGGCCCCGCCCTGAGCACCCTGGACACGCCCCCACTCGCTCAGGACACACCCCTGCACGGGCCACGCCCCCACCTGCCTGCTCCCACCAACCCATCATGGCCACTCCCACCCAGATGGGGCCCCACCCCATCACACTCAGGCCACGCCCCCTGCCTTTGCTCAGGGCCCTTACCCCAGCCCCGCCCCTCAGGCCACGC